CCTCTTGCCCAAGGACACAATGACTATGGCAACTTAGCTGGACACAAATCAGCAATCTTCATGTTATGGGGTGGGCACTTACTGGGACTCCTCTGCCACTGTTGCCTCTCAATGGGCACAAGACTTCAGACCTACCAGTCAGTGGGATTAAAGGCAAACTAAAGTGATAGTAAAACCCACTCTCGGATGGAAAACGAAAATCAGCAGCATGGCCAGACATAAGGAGAATGATGGTGGAAAGAGGAGAGATCAATAAGAATTTTTAGGAATGATGAAATAACATTTCAAAATTTCTGTTGGGGAAACAAACTTAGTTCGGCAATGTTTTATAATCTATACCCTAAAATAAACACAGACCATCCATCCATTCAGTAACTGGGCAGCAGCCAGATCAAACAGCATTTCTGCAAGAAATGCTATTTATCTATTTTGGCCTCTTTTAGATTTCCTCAAAATGGTATTTTCTTTATGAATAATTCAGAAGAAAGGTGCTGGACAGTTCCATTCAAAACCTTAAACAAATCAGCAGAGCAGAATCTTATAAGGGTTAAATCTGACAGTGGCCACTGTGGGCACACACTCCAATAATCGACACGTTATTGATCTTCGTGGGGAAATAATTGACCTATCTGTGGGCTTTTGGGGTTCAGTGCTGAAATATTAACTTCACAACTGCTCTCCATTTTCAGCCATGGCTACATTTTTCTCTTACTTTGTACTTAATTTTCTCATTTTTATATTTCTATTTTCTTGTGTATGGTTCTCTACCACTGAAACTGCATGTTATAACATTTAAATAATTTAGATTTCAATGTGATGTATTTAAATCTACTCAGAAAAGAATGTGCAATTGGTATAACATTTGCAAAATGGTGCTTTAATTATACAGTGGGTTGTTTTTAATTAGCTAAGCAGATTTTCAGAGGTGGTGAAACCATATACAGAGCAAGCTAGGGTCAACTGCTAATACATCAGGTAAAGACCGAATAGAAATCTAAGGATTGGACCCAGCATGAATCCAGAGGGATGTAGGAGAAGATGGATGTAAGAGTAGACTAATTTTTATCCAAATTCTGCAAGAAGCAGGATCTTTATTTATTTATTTATTTTTATTTTTTTGTTTAATTGTTTTATTTTGTATGAATACAAAAGCAATAATTTAAATTACTATATTGTACTTTAACTTTTTGTGCACTGCCTAACTTTTCTTACTTTGGCATCATAACTTATTTTCCTTATTTTTCTATATGCAGTGTTGTGCCCAAACGCATTCATTTAACGATTGTTTGTGAATTTGTTCTTTTTTTTTTTTGTTAACGTGAACTGAACTCGTTCGCATTTTGCCCGACGAACGTAAAAGTGAGTGTGTTCGTCCTGGCATGCGTGAACGGGTGTATGAATGCGTTCTCTCTTCGTTCTAGCTCCAGATCTCCACGGAGATTTTCCGGAGCTAAAGCCTAGCTAAAACATCCTGTTAGCCATAGAGTTTATAAAAAGTAGAACCCGCAAATGCGGCCAAACATAGACAGTAGCGGTTGGTGCTCTACTCTTCTACGTCTTTGCTGTGTGCAGGAGTCCAAGTTCATTCAGAAAAATTGAAAAGGGACTTAACTAAAAGATTTACATTTGTTAATGTTTTGCACTTTTAAAATTGCACTTTGAGTTTGCTACCTCACCCTGCTTCCTAAGATTGTTTAATAATTCCCCATTAAAAAACTGCTCAAATAATGTTTTCCTCAAGTTACTGAGAATTAACTGTAGGGTAAAAACTGCAGCTGGGTATGAGTGTGGACTGAATGGGTGCAACCTATTGAAAAACTATTCCATAAGATATATATTATATATATATATATATATATAAACCAGCCAAAAAGAGCACACGTCACCCCTCAGTTCATTGAGCTCCACTGGCCACCGCTAGCGGCACGCATCAAATTCAAATTGCTAACACTAGCATACAAAGTCCGAGATGGTACGGCTCCCATCTACCTGAATCCTCTTGCAAAGGCTTACGTCTCGGCCCGGCCACTCCGGTCATCACAGGATCGTCGGCTAGCAGTGCCTACACCACGCTCAGGACAATCCAGACTCTTCTCATGCATCGTTCCAAAAATGTGGAATGACCTACCAAGCACTACCAGAACAGGAGCTTCCTTTTCAATTTTCAAGAAACTCCTGAAGACCCTGCTCTTCAGAGAGCATCTTCTAAACTAGCACCCTCCCTGCACCCGTCCCCCTCTCTACCGTCCACTCCTTGTTCCCTCCTCTGCATGATTCATCATGCTGCCTCACTGCCACCTACGACTGACTGGAAATTGTTTGTTGTTGTTGTTGTTATTGTTGTTGTTTGCCTCAAGGGCAACATGCCGATTATCACTTGTAAGTCGCTTTGGACAAAAGCATCTGCTAAATACATAAACATAAACATATATATATATATATATATATATATATATATATATATATATATATATATATATATATATATATATATATATATATATATACATGAATATACAGTATAAATGAGAAAAAAGAAATGTGAACTAGTTCGTCTTTGGAACAGTGAACTTAGTTAAAAAAAATTTTAATTATGAACTAAGAAACAAAGTAGTTTGTTTTAAAATGTATGAACTGAACTTTGAACTAGTTCGTTTTTTAAACAAACGTTCCCAACACTGCCTATATGGTAGTGCGAGGATGTGTATATATGCATATGAAGTAAATATGTAAAATATTTTTAAGAAGATAGTTATTCAGAACTAATGGAGGTATGATAGATATAAGGAAAACATGAATTAAATGAACCTCTAGTTAGTGGTTGGATATTGTGAAGGGGTGGAATTAAACAAGCGGAAGCTTCTTCCTACAACTTTTGAGCATGCATTTTGAAAGACAGTGTAATATAGAAAATTATTTTGGTATGAGAACTTATATATTATCATGAAAGAGATTATTGCTGTTACGTCTTTAATCAGGTATCAATGACAGCTGACTGGTAATGTCATTGTTTGGTAAACATGCTAATTAGTACTCATTTTCTGAGCATGAAAGAATATGCGTGCATGGGTGCACGCTTATGTCTGTGGATGTAGGTATTTAAATGGATGGCATATGTAGATATGTATGCATATGTTTGTGTGTGTGTGTGTGTGTGTGTGTGTGTGTGTGTTTGCACATGTGTAGGTATATATGTATCTATATACACACGTCTATCTATTCAAGAAGTTACTAAACACTGTCATGTATACATGTTCAGAAAAAGGAAAAAAAGGAAGAAAAAAAGAAAAAAATAACAAATCTTTAACATAAAACCAAAGAAAACTTCTACAACTAAGACACAGCTCATTACCCATAAGACTTTGCGGCACACAACTGTCCTTTCAAGCAGCCTGATCAGCTTTGCTACCACATAGCCCGCACAAGAGGGGTTAGTCGTCCTTGACAACCCCATCTCCTACAAGGAATTCCCTCACATGAGTGGGTCAGCGATACTGTTGGATGGTGCGTCCAGTACTTGAGTTCCTCATTGGACTCTGGCTGGCCCTGTCCTCCCCAGGGGTGGCGTTAGGCCCGGCTACTTGGGCTGAAGCCCCGGATGTTTCATGAAAAGCCCCGGATCTCAAACGTGGAAGTAACATGCAGTACCAAAGTCCAACAGAGAGGGAGCAGCTGGCAGTAGTTTGTATACAGCCTGCCTGAACCTCCACCACTGAAGAAGAAGCCCTTCAGCAGCCGGCTTCTTCTAGTCTCTGTCTGAAACGCAAATGTGAAGATAGATATAAGGACGTTTTTTAGTCAAAAAGTACCGCGACAGAACCCCAGCTTTGATGAGACTGGTGTTGACTCAGGTTTGTGAGTCTTATTTGAAAATATTTGTGTTGCTGCTGGTTTGCCTAAAGTTAGCTTACTATCAGAGAAAGTTGTTGGAGAAAGAACGGGAATATTTACTATCTTCTCACACTAAACACTAACAGGAACAATACTCTGCCCTGAATATGCTTAATATGTAGCTTCAGATTAAAAATTATGTGGTACAAGACAAATATATGATGTTGACTAGTGTGTGTCAGAATCAGAATCAGAATAAGCTTTATTGCCAGCGCTCCAGCGACCCAGAGCATAGGAACTTGACTCCGCAAACACAACCTGACCAAGGTTAAACACACACACATGTAGACAAAACAGGTACAGGCAGTCCACGAGAGCAGCCAGAATGGTGCTCATTTCATTAGATGAAAAGGGTGTTACATGAGGATAATTGGGGTAAGGTAAAAAAGGCATACCAGACTTAGTCCCAGCAGGGAGTAGCTCTACTATACAAAAAACTCCTCAACATACATACATAGAAGCACGAAAATCACAGTTACAAAACATCAGACTCCGATAGGGAGGCGGGGGGATCCTGAATCCTCCAACGGGAGCTGCCAGTATGGCGCTCAGCCAGCTGCAGTCAAACAGGTGAGAGGGAGAGGGGAGGGCCAGAGAGCACATTGAGTTTCCTGCAGGTTGATGACCTCGAAGCAAAAGTCACAATCTGAAGGCAGGGGGGGAAGGTCGGGTCACAGCATCTGTCTACATTCCTCCTTTCGTGGGGGTTGATATTGATGGCAGCTTTGGAGTCTGCCTTGGCATCAGATTAGGATAACAAGACTTTGTTTAGGGCAGACAGAGATAATTTTCCTCTCTGCCTTGGAGTCTATGAAGTGATCATTCATGTCCACCAGTGAAGCTAATTATACGTTCTAAACATCCCCACACCGTCCGGCGACCCTCTCCGAGATGACATCCATCTTGCGCACTAACACAGGCAACGCCACAAGGACACTGTCCAGCTTACGGTTCACCTCGAGTAACGTCCCAGTCTGTGAGTAACGTAGTGCGTGTCATGTGTGTGTGTATGTGTGTGTGTGTGTGTGTGCATGCGCGCATTTTATACAGGTCGGATGCTACCCAGTACATCAGTCTCATCCTGTCATCCTCCAAGATGTGACGTTTTAGGTGTGTTAATCCACAGGTGTAATGTTTTATATGATAGGTATCATGACAAAACTTTGCTTGGTTGTAAAAATGGTGAGGTGATGTCGCCTAATCAGTTAATGTGATTGTGAGGCCTGATGACTTTGTTTTTGTTACAGATAAGTCAGCTAAATGTAGAGAAGAGCCACAAGGGACAGCAGAACCAAAAGGGACAGCAGATAGATTTTCGAGTACAGACTTAGGGACAAAAGAAAGTGGCCCCAAGCAGGTGTGCCTTCCCCAGTATCCCCTCATCCTATTTGGTAAACAGAAAAGAGCTTTCAATAAGAGCTGGTTCGAGCAGTTTAAATGGCTGGAGTACTCTGAAGCCACCAACTCAACATTTTGTTTTCCATGTCGTCACTTTGGAAGGCAAAACATTCGTACCTATAAAGATGCTCTCCTTAGTTTTTCTGGTTTTTCAAACTGGAAAAGGGCTTTGGACTCCTTTCGTGAGCATGAGAAAAGTGACTTCCATAAGTCAAGCATGACATGTTGGCAAAGCTTTAAAAGCACAGGGACTCATGGGGATGTTATTGAGCAGCTGAATACTGCAAGCGCAGAACAAATATCAGAGAGGCGCCAATACCTTCAGCGCATTGTGAGTGTGATCACATTTCTAGGGAAGCAAAACGTTCCATTTCGCGGGCATGATGAGCAGGAGACTAGCAATAATCAAGGCAACTTCCTGGAATGCATGAAACTCCTGAAAAAATTTGACCCATTTCTCAAAAAATATTCACCTCCTAAAAATGCCACCTACCTATCACATCCATCACAAAATGAAATTATTTCAAGCATTGCACAAGAAATAACTGAAAATATCACAAAACAAATTAGATCCTCCACAATGTACTCTGTGATGGCAGATGAAGCAAGATATCACCATACAGAGCGGCTAGCAGTATGTGTTCGCTTTGTCACAATGGAAGGTTCCCCAAGCGAAGCTTTTCTTGGACTACACAAGCTAGAAAAATTTGATACAAAATCTATTGCAGATGGAATAGAGGCAGTGGTGCAGTCTCACAACCTAGGGGATCTCAAGTGTGTTGCACAAACCTATGATGGAGCATCAGTGATGAGTGGAGCAGTAGGGGGTGTACAGGCCTACTTCAAAGAACGACACCCTGAAGCAGTGTATGCACACTGTTACGCACATGAGCTTAACCTAGTCCTGTGCCACACATGCAAAGCTATACCTGAAGCTGCTGCATTCTTTGACTTGCTTGAAAACATATACCCATGTTTCAGCAACTCACTCATTAACCACAACAAGTCCATTGAAATCCAGAACCAACTTGGATTACACCCATCTGAACTTTTGCAACTCTCCAACACAAGATGGGAAAGCCAGGTGAGGTCTGTAAAAGCTGTCATGAACAACCTTCCTGCCATTCTTGCATGTCTCAGGACCATGAAGACTGCCACAGCCCAAGGGATCTTGTCAAATCTCTGTAAACCAAAGACAATCTACATGTTAGTGATGTTTGCCAAACTCCTTATGATAACTGAATGTTTCCATCGATACCTGCAGGGGGAAAGTGTGGATATGTGAGTGCTGTACAAAACAGCAATCATTGAAACTTTGACAGATTTCCGCACAAGCAGTAGTGTTGAAGATCTTTTTAAAAGTGCCATGACCATATGTGAGGAAAATCACATCCAGCTTCCAGTTGGTCCCAGGAAAAAACATAAAATAATGGATGATTTTGTGGTGGAGTCAGCCTGTGGGGCAACTTCTATTCTGACCACCCCAGATGAGTTTAGAAGACAACTTTTGTATCCATGCTTGGACAGAATGATACAGGAGCTCACTCATCGGTTTTCAGATTTGGGGGAAGAACTTATGTCAGGTATTCAAGCCTGCAATCCAACTACATCAACCTTTCTTTCTGAAGAGGCTCTCAAAGGTCTTGCTAACCATTATGGAATTAAGCTGATGCAAGAAGAACTCCTGGTGGCAAAACATGTCGTCAAGAAATGGCTGGAGAAAGAGAGAGATAAAACAACCCCAGACACAGCTACAGAAGAAAATCAAAGACTGGACATAGCCACTGTGTTCAGGATTCTTGACAGAGAAATGTTTCCCACCTTGAAAGCCGTCCTCCAAGTTGCCCTCACAATCCCCATAAGCAGCTGCAACTGTGAACGCTCTTTCAGTGTTTTACGCCGTCTCCACACATGGTTGAGAAGCACCATGGACCAAGAAAGACTGAATGACCTTTTCATTATGTCAATTGAAAAGGAAACTCTGGACGTCATAACCCCTGAACAAATTATTGACAGATTTGCTAAACTAAAGCCACGTCGCCACAGCCTTATTTTGCTACCATTACAAAAAAAAGTAGGGGAAAAAGATGGTGATGGAGAGGTGTGGGGCCACTGAAGTTGAAAAAGAGTGCAATGAAGTGATTTTCATGCAGCAATAAAAAAAACAGTCTGTACTTTATGAAAAAAGTGAAATACATATACATTTACTTAAAATTTGCATATGTTCTTTTCTGATTTGGAATAACTTATCTACTGAATAAAACTTGTTTGTTGAAGTAAAAGCTGTTTTCTTTTTTGAATTATGCATTGAATCAAATCAATAAATGAGGTAACTGGAAATTGGTCAGCAAACTTGTGCAGAAAGCAAAGAGACATTGAAATATGGATAAAGAACTAAGCAGGAAAAGACAGCAAGGATGCCAGCAAGGATCACTAGAACTTAAGTTGCATATTTTTCTGTGAAGCTTGAGGAAATCTTGTTTTGCGTAAAGCTAGCTTGTTCTATATTTGTTGCTTTTAGTGGATGTGAAGTGTATTCACTGGACCTGTGATCTGAGGTGACTTCAATCAGCACCAATGAAGAAGAAGCCCTTCAGCAGCCGGCTTCTTCTACAGTCTCTGCCTGAAACGCATGTGTGAAGATGGACATAAGGACGTTTTTTTAGACAAAAGGTACCGCGACAGAACCCCAGCTTTGATGATACTGGTGTGTTGACTCAGCTTTGTGAGTCTTATTTGAAAATATTTGTGATTTGTAATATATATGATTTTGACTAATGCGTGTCACGTGTGTGTGTGTGCGCGCACGCGCATTTGTTAAGCCCCGGATCTTCTTCAGTCCTAAATCCGCCCCTGGTTCTCCCCCTCGCCAGCAGCCACTGGAGTGTGAAATGGAACAAGCCTGTCCTAATGAAGTACCACCGGGGTCCCCTGTGGGACATTCGCACTCGGTATACCACATCTGATAAGCAAGCCACCACTTTTGCTGGTGGCTGCAAAGCTTAGGGGACACGCATTTCTTCTACTCCGAGAAGTAGACCCACACCTTGTCTCCAGGTGAAAAGGGCTGTCCACGACACTGGCAGTTGTACACTCTCCTTTGACACAATTTGTAGTTGGCTTGTGCCTGACGAGTGAACTCGTGCATCACCCGCAGCCGCTCTCTAAGTCTCTGGAAGTAGTCCATCTCCATGCCCCCAAAGCTCTCGTCCAAACATCAGGGCAGCTGATGTGCACTGGCTGGACTTTTGCACAGCTGTGCAGTAGGCCGAGAGGGCTAGGGGCAGATGACAGTCCCAGTCCCTCTGATGGTAATCAACCAGGATGGTCACCTGGGTGGCCATGGTGCAGTTGAACCTCTCCACCACTTTGTTACTCTGTGGGTGGAGAGGGGTCATTCTGGTCTTCTTCACCCCAGCCGCTGGCAGACTTCCCCAAACACCTGGGCCTTGAAGTTGCGTCCCTGGTCACTGTGTAGCTTGGTGGGGGCCCTAAAGCTGGTGAAGATCTCCTCGACTAACCTCTTAGCAGTCGTAGAGGCACTTTGTGCCTGCACTGCATATGCTTTGGCCATTTTGTGAAGTATACCATTGCCACAAGAATGTAGCAGTTGCCAGCCTCAGTGATGGAAAAAGGGCTAAGAGTCCCCACCAGATACTGCAGCAGGGGAGCATGTGATCAAAGTTGCCCATTCTGGGCAGAGCACATGTCACAACACTGCATGAACGGCTCCACGTCTTGCCTGTTCCCATGTCAGTGGAATTATCTTCTGACACTCGGGATGCCAGGATGCCTCCAACAACTCTCTGATCGATGCCAGGGCTGGATCTGCCAGCTGGATTTGCTTCAGCTGGTCCAGTGTCCAAAACAGATGCTCCTCACCAGTGGTTTCCTCAGCAGCAGCAATGGATTAGCTTGCTTGATCCACTCACTCCTCCTATTGCTTACAGTAATGGCATTCTGCCACTGTTCAAGGATTGTTGGGAGAGGGCATTAGCTTTGCAGTGCTGTTGACCAGGTTGATGCTGGAAGTCAAAGTCAAAGGCTTGAAGGATCCTCAGCCATCATACCACCTGCCCCTCTGTCTGTTTGAAATTCAAGAGCCAGGTCAGCATGGCATATTCAGTTCACAGCAGGAATCAGCTGTCCTGGAGGTATGGCCGGAAGAGTCGGACTGCCACCACCACTGCCAACAACTCTTGGTGGGTCACGCAGTAGTTTTTTTCTTCCTGGCTCCCACATTACTGGCGTCCATGTCAACTACAAAGGGGACCTGGGCATGAGGGTAGGTGCTAGGAGCTGCCATGAGGGAGGTCTTAAGTTGGTCAAAGACAGCAGCACAGGCATCATCCCAGTGAAGGGCTGGCCTTTGTCGATAAGCCAGTGGAGGGGGCTGGCGATAGAGGCAAATTTATTAAAGAATTGGAGGTATTAGGACATTAAACCCAGGAAGCTGAGTAGCTCCCGAATGTTAGCTAGGGAGGTAGTTCTGCACAGTGGTCAATTTTGCCGGTTTCATCACCCCCTCCTGGGCACTGACCACATGGCCCAGGATTGCGGCCTTCCTCTGCCACAAGTGACACTTGGTAGGGTTCAGCCCCTGTCCAGCTTGCCGGATGGCGTCAAGGGCCTCCTGGATTTGGGCCGGGTTCGTTGAAATCCACCAATAAATACTGTACCAGCAGATCGTCAAGGTACAACGCACAGCAGGTTTGGGGTATGACCACCAGCACCCTCTCCATGAACCCTTCGGACATCGTGTTGCACAATCCGAAAGGCATCACCTGGAACTGCCATAGTTCTTGTCTGACGGTGTACATCATCTTCGGCCTTGTGTCGGGGTGCAGCTCCACCTGCCAGTATCCGCTGCATAGGTCAAGGGAGCTAATCCAGCTGCAGCCAATCATGTAGCCCACTGTGTCGTCAATACGGGGAAGTGGGTAAGAGTCCTTCTTCATGAATGCATTAAAGCGGTAATAGTCCACACAAAACCGCCATCCCCCCATCTCCTTTCGGACCAGGAAAACCGGGGCCACCCAGAGGCTGTCAGACCGCTCAATGATTTCAGAACTCAAAATCTGATGAACCGTCTCCACCGTCACCTGCCTCTTAGCCATTGCCAACCGGTGATGTTGCAGAGCCGGTGTGGATCAGATCTTACACCAGTCCCATTTGGGTGCAGTCCTCCTCTTTGGCAGCTAATATATGTATGTATCCAACCAGCAGGGGCTTTACTCAATCATTTGGGGCTTGATCCAGGCCCTCACAGCTTCATCACCACAGCCCCAAAACAACTTCCACTATCTCACTTGATGGGGCCTTTGCTGATATAGGATTGAGTCCTGGTGATGGCTGAGGCAGATCTGGTGGCTGGGTTGGAGCGACTTGGGGGCTTGTCATTTGCACTCTCTGTCTTTTTTTTTTCTTTGACCAGATTAGAGATCCACCGTTAGGGTTCACAGGTTGAGAGTCAAATTGGGCAAGTTGACTACGGCTCCTAAAAAATCAGCACATTCACACCTATGATGCAGGGTTCCTGGATCTGGGCCAGGCAAAACTCATGTCTCAGTTCTTGTCCTCGTCCTTCTACCAGCAGCTCCTTCTTCTCTTTCATTATGGCTCTTTATCTGGTCACGGCGGTGGGCTGGGTGTCGGTTGGTGACCAGATCTCGGAGAGAGAGCCTGAAGTGCCTGAAAGGAGGCCAGGTAAGACCAAAGAGATGGTGGACCCTGTGTCCACTAGCACACGGAAGGGCTGACCCTCGGCACTGGAACTCAAGTACAACCCTTTCAACTTTCCTGGGTACCCCACCAGGGTGCCCTGTCTGTGGAGAGGAGCAGTGGTTTGAAGTGGTGGTCCTCTCAGAGCACAGCTCCTATGCTGTTTCCCGACAGATGGGTGCCTCTTGTCTTTGGAGTTCGTGCAGGGAAATCTCTGGCTACGTGACACTCGTCACACTCATAACAGCGGTCTCCCTGAGTGCTTTGGTATCTCCCTGCTGGCTGGACTTGAAGCATCCTCTCTGTCTCCTCTTCCTCTGCAATGTCAGCTTGCCAGGCATGCTGTGGTGGGCTGTGAGCTCTTGCAGGATTGGGCCATCTAATTAGGATCATTTGTGCTTGCTCAGCTTTTTGGAGGCCTTCCATGAGAGTGTTGGGCATGGCCAACCAAACATGTTGCCACAGGTATTATGATGTGAGGACTTGGAGGAAGGTATGGAGTGCCAGTTCATCACGAACAGCCATCGAGAACTGGGCATAGTATCATTGAGCGTGAAACCTCACATCGGTGGCGAACGTGCCCAGGCTCTCATCCTCTTTATGGCAGTAGCTGGTCAACTCCTCTCTTCTCTCCTCTGCACACAGGTGTTTGACAAACCTTGTCTCTAGCACTGTCATCTGGGCTTAAACATTCTGTTTATCCCTTGGAGCTAGGTCGAGGAGCACTTGCAGGGCCTCTCCTTTCAGAGCCAGTGCCACATGTGTGGTGGTCTCGCCATCCTCCCAGTCACTGTGCATGTCGCCAGCCAGGTCTGGGTGAGGAAAGATTCCAGGGGTATTCCGTTGTTGTTGTTGGGTAGCTTGGCAGATGTCTTTGGTGCTGCTTTAAATCGTCGCTGGCAAGGCATCAAATCTGCTGTGATCTGTGATGTTGACATCAGAAGACATAGCTAGTCTATCTAGGAAGCTGTGGTCTGTTGTTTGTTGAGTTAACCACTGTGGAAGACATTTTGATGACCAAATGGATGGTATTTGGTTTTGGTAATTAATGTCAAAATTTCTGCTGAATCCCTACTGGATATATTCCAGAGTCCTATTGGCTTCATCAGAACGTGATCTTCAGCTTTCGTTGGAGTGGTTCACAGCCGAGTGTAAAGCAGCTGGGATGAGAATCAGCTCCTCTAAATCTGAGACCATGGTCTTGATTTGGAAACGGGTAGAATGCCTTCTCCGGGTCAGGGATGAGGTCCTGCCCCAAGTGGAGGAGTTTAAGTATCTCGGGGTCTTGTTCACGAGTGAGGGAAAACTGGAGCATGAGATCAATAGGCGGATTAGCGCTGCATCTACAGTGATGCAGGTGTTGTACCGGTCTGTTGTAGTGAAGAGAGAGCTGAGCCAGAAGGCGAAGCTCTCGATTTAACGGTCGATCTACGTTCCTACCTTCACCTATGGTCATGAGCTTTGGGTAGTGACCGAAAGAACGAGATCGCGGATACAAGCGGCCAAAATGAGTTTTCTCCGAAGAGTGGCTGGGCTCTCCCTTAGAGATAGGGTGAGAAGCTCGGTCATCGGGGAGGGGCTCGGAGTAGACCCGCTGCTCCTCCACATCGAGAGGAGCCAGTTGTGGTGGCTCAGGCATCTGGTCAGGAGTCCTCCTGGACGCCTCCCTGGTGAGGTTTTCAGGGCGCATCCAACCAGGAGGAGACCTAAAGGTAGACCCAGGACACGGTGGTGGGACTATGTCTCTCATCTGGCCAGGGAACGCTTTGAGATTACCCCGGAGAAGCTGGCCCAAGTGGCTGAGGAGATAGAAGTCTGGGCTTCTCACCTTAGGCTACTGCCCCCGCGACCTGACTCCGGATAAGCGGATGAAAATGGATGGATGGATGGATGATAGAGTACTGTCAGAGAACAAGTGAAGAGTCGATGTGAGAACCAAAAAGGGGGGAAACGTAGTTGCAGGCCTTTTACTGCAAAGTACTGGACTATCCTAATTGATGAACCAAACCAGGAGAACAGGGCAGTCCAGGCAAGCAGTAGGCACACTGAGAGGTTATTGTTCCTCATTCCTGGTTTGAGATTACAGTGAGGGACAGCTAGTGACAGCTGATAACATTTAGATTCAACATGACAATGGAATTTTCACATCACCATGTATGTTGAACCAATTAAACACCAGAAAATGGATTGCAAATGTACGATATTCATTTGCAAATGTCCACGTGTAGCAATGCAAAGCAAACTAAACAGCATTATAGGAGTTTTAAATACAAAATAAATGTCCAAGTCTCTTTTGCCTTGATTCCCAAAATGCCTTGACATGGCACTGGGTGTGGAAGTGAGTTTTGGAGGTTGTCTGCATTGTATCAAATATGTAAATATTACATGCATATAAATTACTGCTTTATACAATTAAAAGGTGCAATGATGATAAATCTACCTATATTTTCTTTTTTTTTTGTTTGTTTTCTTTTTTTTCTTTGACTATTTTCCTGTGGTGTCTGTCTCTTATCTTCCTGCATCTTCTCTCAATCTTCCAGAAAAACTGCTGCCTGGCTTCCCACTTTTTCACCTAACTTTTGAACTACACAGATCAAAGGGATCTACCGACTGCAAAAATAGCAAAGTGTGAATTTTGCGGCCACACTAGTGAAATGAAGTCACCATACCGCTAGTTTTGAGTTCCATTGCCAGCGCATCGAACATGAATGAAAGACAGAAATTACCAGACAATATGAGCGGACATAAAAAATTGTGTGTTAATTATAATTTTTTTGAGAATGTTACTGTGGCAATGTTCAGGATGCAGCTGCCCTAAGTACATAAACAATCAGTGCTCTTCATCCTCTCCACTCAAAAGAAGCCCTGGTCCACTGAGGGTCCATATAAATGGTTTAATGTAGTTTGAAACTGGATCTTTTTAGGGTGTCCCCTGGGTGTGTACGATGAGGGATTCTAGGGAAGCCTGTCACTGTCACGTTGGGTTTAAGCTGTTTGACCCTGGACATTCAGAATCAACTCAGAACACAGGGATTATGGTGAGTAAACAATAATTTATTATATCTAAGGGAAACTAAAAGAGCACCATCAAAAAGGTGAGGTGAATATCTTTCCAGTCTCTTTAGTCCAATCCTTCTTAGGAGCGAGGTTCGGGACACGGGAAGGAGAAATGTCCAGTCGGTAGGTGACTGGCAGGAGCAGAGCGGGGCAGAATGAAACTCGGGAGATCCACCGAGTGCAGGAGGATTCAGAGGGTCGAGAAAAGCGGGTCGGTCAGGCTTGGCTGGGGAGCTGAGAGACAGGTATGGGTCCAGAGTTATGGTAGGTTCTGTAGGTGGAGGCTGGGATCTGTAAGGAGAGGGAGACGGCATGTGAGTTACTTGGAAGGAGGCTCGGAAGACAATCTGGTCATACTCGAGAATAAAGTCTCATGACACTCAGTTAACACTACCAAGGTTGAGTAATCATCCAGCGCTGAGGTGTCTCCCTGCTCCTTAAGAATCCGGCCGCGTGATGGCAGACAGCTGGCTGCTCTCCAGTACCGCCCATCATGTAATGACACAGAGAGCGTTTTAGGTGTGTTCACTCACCTTCGACTATGACAGTCACCATTTTCGGGAGAGTCTGGCTCCCCTTAGCTCCCTCAATATTCCAAACCCTGAATGCTTCCGTGTAGGAACTTTGTCCTTGTCTGTCATAAGCAGAATGTTCCACACCCCTACTGCACACTGGTTAAGTGGGTGAGTGTTAAATACAGGCCAGGCAGATTATCACATGAAGACCAGGTTTGAGAAGAGCAGAAAACAAGATCAAAGTAACTGAACTAGAAATATTTACAAACCATGTCACACTGGATATCTGTTTAGATTGAAAGGAGCTAACAATTCTCCTCAAACTTGTTCCTTGTGAGGAGCTGCTGATACAAATGGACATCCAGTCTCTGTCAGCCAGACAGGAAAGTTAATGTGTCTGAAACTCTAGCTCTTAAAACCATTCTCCCACTTGTTTATCTAGCTTACATCTGTTTAGTGTATTACACCACTACTTGCTGATATTTACCTTGCCCTGGGCTCTGGCTAGCAGACGAATAACACATGAACCATCCTTCAAACCCAGTCCAGATGGAGCCACTGAATGGGACACAGGTCAAGGAATCAATGTCAGCCCTGAAGCACATGGTGATGCTCTGATTGTTTGAGCAGGATTAAGAGGCCACTGACTGCCCTGTGTGTATGAGTGAGATAGAGACAGAAGCTACAGGACTCGTGGATTGAATGGAGACCAAGATTGTTGACTGAAAGTCATCTTTCTTATTACCTGCTGAGCATGTGTCCATACAACCTTTTGGTCAGCTGCATCATAGCGTCATCTCGTGAACCATTGGCCCAGTTTAGCGGGTGATGCTGGTTAATTTCTTGACTACTTAATAAAGGAACATTTTTAGAGTGATTCATCACATAGATTTTTATAGTTTCTGTGGCCGATCATTCAAAAATTAACACTGTACCAGCAGTGACCTCAAAGCAAGCCGGTCTTTTTCACACTTGCAATTCATCAGTTTAATAAATTGTAATTTGATGCACACACATAGTTAATGAGGACAGTCTAAAGCCTCATTTACACCGAGTGTGAAACGGAAGAGGATCAGAATCCAAGCAGCTTCTGCAATGAACGAAAATCACTGAGTCCAATCGGAGGATTTACAAAGCAGTGATACAAAGCAGATCCAAATGTGGAGTTGCAGATTCTTTCCGCATGATCTCCATTAATTGCAAACGTGTGATGTGGATTGTCATGAAATTGAAGAAATGGCATGAGTCAGACAGAAAGTGATGTGTGCCAGCAAGCTGCATCCAATTTGTTTCAAAATAAAACCCACGTTGCATCATTCTGTAATTATTAATGACTGGAAAATCGGTTTGCAGTGTATGGTAGTCTGAATGGACTGGTGTGGCTTTTGTGTACCAGGTCATCTTTTCACTCATGGTTGTTTTTGCATGAACTCATGAGCAATGTTGCAGAGGCATTCCACATAGTATCTAGAGACAGTGTAAACGACTGCAGGGATTCCAGTCCATCGGTTCCGCTCTCGATGTAACTGAGGCTTGAATGATTACAAACGTTTTTGCTGCACACAGCTGACTGCAGAGGGACCAGGGAAACCATTAAATCCATGTTCAAATGGTCTGTGTTACCAACTTGAATCTGAAAGAGCAAGCATTGATAAAAATTAGAACATTCAGTGATTTTAAGTTGTCACATTCAGTGAATTAAATGGATACAGGTTAGTTATTTTGTATCCCTCCATTGTCTATGCTGCTTCATGCTACAGTTTAATATTACAACTGTCAACTTTGAAAATTAAATTTAAGGTTCTTTTGCACGTGTATGATTCAAGGCCCACGTGACGAGAGCTTAAATTGTCTTAAAATACAGTAGAGGTCAAACATTTGGACACACCTTCTCATTCAATGTGTTTCCTTTATATTCATGACTATTTACAAAGGGGCCAACAGGTGCTAAACACCTCTGGGAACTCTTTCAAGACGGTTGGAAAACCATTTCAGGTTCAGACCTTTTGAAAATCATCAAGAGAATGCCAAGAGTGTGGAACGCAGTAATCAGAGCAAAGAGTGGCTGTTTTGAGGAAAATAGAATATAAAACATGTTTTCAATTATTTCACCTTTTTTGGTTAAGTACATAACTCCACATGTGTTCATTCATAGTTTTGATGCCTTCAGTGAGAATCTCCCAAATGGTCAAGAAAATAAAGACAACACATTGAACAACATATTATCCCAAAATCCCACGAAGAGTAAGATATATGCAGAAGGAAGGGTGTTTCAACAAAGATGGGAAGGTGAATAAAAATTTATGCTCCAAGGAGAAAACCCCGGTATGTCTTTGCAGTCATTAGCGTCCATACTACAAGTATCGGCGTCTGAAGCACTGTCCTCCTCACTCTCAGACAAATTGAAAACACTCCTCTTACTCAGCAGTTTGCCAATTTTGAAGCACAAAAATTGAGATTTCAACTGCTCAGTAATCTGTTCACATAGATGGCTCACCAACTGACCTCCAGATGGAGCTGACTGAACTCCAACACACTCAAGTCAGAGTATGACTTTGTGGCTGCTGTAGTTTTTGCTAACACTTTACTATAAGGGTTGCTTTATTATTGTTACTCAGTTCATATTTAAGCATTAATAAACGAAGGATCACTCCATTAATGGTCCCAATATGCTTTCCATGTTAGTTCCCATGTCTTATTCCTCCACAGACGATGAACATCAGCTTTCTCACAAAGATGTGGAAGACATTTTAAAAGGGACCTGCACAAGAAAGCGGCCATGTGCCATGGCGGCCCTAAGTATAATGTTGGGGTGACATTGAGGAAACCACCTCAAATCAATAAATACCACACTTCCCAAGCCATTCATTTAGAAGCAACATGTGTGGGGGTGCACGCTGTTGTTAGAACACACGCATAACGAACATGCTTAATGAACACATGTGCAATGTGTACTGAACAACGACAAAGAAAAAAGTTTTTGCTAGTAATTTCGCCCATGGTAAATTGAAACACTTAGATCAGTAAGAGATAAAAGAATGATAAAAAAGATAACAAATCATCTGGTGAAGAACAATAAGGGCCCTGCCTAGCAGGCCCCTTACGAGCTATTCTGGCCTGCCAGACTCCTCCGCTCAAGGGCGTCAGTTTGTTTTTAGAATTGCTGGGGACAATAACCATACACTTGAGTGGGGTTTAAAAATTGCTGGGGACAATCATTAAATAGGCTAGCATATTTAAGTATTCATCAGTTTTTAATGTTTCACTCCAATATGCAGAGTAGTGTATTGACAGTTATTAAAAATCCTGTTTTGTTTTGTTTTTCCAACGGCACTGAAACCCCCCATTAGCCTGTAAGCAAGGTGGAATATTAACATCCATATAGCTAGCCTAGCAAAAAAGATATTGTATTATTATTATTGTATTATATTATATATATCCTTGTTATATTATTTGTGACTGTCAAATAAGATTTTTAGAGAAAAATACTCATCTTTTTATCAGGCTCCACTCTCTGGTCACCTCCACACTCCGACAGGCTAGCTGTCCGTGAACTACCGGATTGATTGATTTTTTTAAAAGTTAAGAAGCTGAAGTAGGTGAAAAGTAGTTGTCTGTCGACCATGTCGAAAAGAAAGAACGCAACCGATATCAGATGGTTTTTCTGCAAGAAAAATGTGCTGTAAGTGCATCCCGACAAAAATAAGACTAATATATCCAGTTTTATCATTTGATATTGACTTACTTAGCAGTAGATAAGAGGGCATGAGAGAGGTTTCTCTCATCTACTGGTACAGTTAGCTAGCAGCAATAATGGTTAAAAACCTTACTTTATGCTAGGTGATCAAACCTCTTTTTTCCCGTGACATTTTTACTGTTCATGTGCTATTAGGGGCATCTGGGAATATTTCATAGATTGATAAAATGCCTAGGTTTTCATCGTTTTTCAGAAGACTTCATCTTACAATACATAAACACGACAGCACAGCCCTGTGATATACTCCCGACCTGCTCAAGTGGATAGTTCTGAAAGGAGGTTGTAGTAGCCTACCGACATACAGGTGTTGCACCTGTCACTGAGTGGTGCTGTTTAACTAATTCCAACTAGGTCCCCATCTAGCAAATGGTCCCATTATGTGAAATGACCCATCCATAATTAAAGTGTTAGAGGGATTAAATTTTAGGTTGAAGTGTGTAAATGAATAAGTCTCAGAATAAAGTTTTGTGGTGTAAAAGTGACTGGGAAACCAGATGCTAACCGTGTGACCCTAACCCCTTACATGACCTTAACCAGCCCAGCCCTTCCATAGCCTTGCAAAACTGTGTTAACCTTAAAACAGATTTTGATGGCATTGATAATACAAAATAGCACTACGTTTGTTCAGTAGGAATCAGCACCCCCTAGAGTCACATGTGTCTTAATGCAATTTGTTTTATTATATTTGAAAAAAAAAATCTGATTTTTGTCCCGTATGACCGACCAATTTGTTTCAGGGTATCTTTTTTTAAACCGTTAAGTTATTTCCACAGATTTTTTTTTAAACTTTCTGACTTATTAGCCTAGCTGAAGTTATTTATATTTTCTAACCACAAAGAACCGGCACACTTTAAAGTCAAAAGCTTTCTTCAAGTAAACAACACAAGTTCAGTGCTTCAGGAATGTGTCCCCTTTTTGGATGCCAACTAATGGACACCCAAAGAACCTATACTTTTCCAACTAAACCAAAAATAATTAAGTCAAAGTCTATGCTGCATTAGCAAAATAAAAAAAAAATAAAATCACACAAGTTGTAATGTTTATTTGATTATCCATTTTCTATCAGGAACAGAATGTGACAGAGGAAAATGAACACATGCAGGAACAGGCAGCTGAGAATGGAGAGGTGAAATTCACATCAACAGAAAATCAGATATAACCTTACAGTAAATATGAAACCAACTTTGGTATACTCTTACAGCAAGTGCAATCACTGGATGAAGAAATGGAGAGTGTTGAAACAAGCTCAGATCAGATTCAGCAGGTGAGGGTTCAGGAAGCAAACATATGCAAGTTTTATCCATCTGCAGGGCTTTGCATTGGTTCAACTTGTACAAAAATATGGAAGGAAAACAGATTTGATTAAAACAACAGATAGATCTACAACACTACATCACTACTACTAAAATACAAACAGAAAAGTAAGTTGTCTATATAACATCATGGTATGACCAGTTGGAGAACACTGTGTAGAATCAAAACATTTCTGAGAGCTATGCATGGAAACTAATGACAACTGAATAATTACATTATAGGTCGAGTCACCAGGTACTGATGCAGGGAAGCAGGATAACCCTCCACAAGCAAACCATCCATACAGCTGAGGGTCCAGGTTCCCCATACCAACCAGCAGCACAGCTAATTGAGCCACAAACTCTGCCGAACAGCATTCTTCACTTCCAGGAGAGCTGGTTCAAAATCTTCCCCTGGCTCCATTACAGTCCTGAAATAAAAGGAGTTTTGTGCTTCTACTGCACAACTGCTTTTAAAAAGAAGTTTTGTGCTTCTACTGCACAACTGCTTTTAAAAAGAACATTTAAACAATGGCAAAAAAACTGAACATACCTTTATTTCTCAGGGGTTCAGAAACTGGAAGAAGGCTAGGGAGTCATTTGACAGGCACGCTAGTAGTAGGGCACACACACACACACACACACACACACACACACACACACACACACACACACAGGTCAGTAAGAATGCAACTGTTCTCAGTGTGTTCACAATGTGTATTTGTGTGCATTCAAACCTAATGGTTATTTCCCTTTTAATTTTTGTTCTGTTAATAAAACAGTTAACTGATCCATCTTTGACTAAAGAATCCTTCATATTATTTTAAGCTTCAAAAGACTCATCAAGGCATCCAAACAAAATAAAGGAAGAACGGCTAATGTAACGGATCACCTTCTGACCTGTTCAGTAGATGTGGTCTGGACAATTTGTGTCATCACTCTTGTGCTCCACATTCACCAAAAAGCAGATTATGGCACCAGATTATTCTTCAACTTGCTTTTATTGGCAGCAATCTGGTCCAACAGAACACACACAATTTCCATCAATATGAGTTATCCAGCCTCACACAGGGGTCTCCACCAACTTACATGTTACTGTGCTGCGTGATTGTATAGTGGTTATTATTACTATTCAAGGTTTTTTTTCACATTTTACATAAAAAACAGATTATAGTGGATGACCAAAAGTTGCTAATAACACTTGTAACACAAATACATTTTTCTACTGTAACATTCATACATGAGCCTTCCTGGTATAACAGAACACACAATTTCCATCACTAGCCACGTTTAAATGGGCACAAGTAAATGGACTGAACACCCAGTCAGATCAATAATTCTGCACATTACACTTTTCATTTCGTTTCATGGCATTTGTTTACCATCTTTTCCAGGAAATACAATTGTCTGCGCATGCTCAACCTATTTATTTGGACGGAATGCTTGGTGCATAAATTACCCCCAAATTCCACTACCTCCGCTCCGCTCCGCTCCGACACAAACGCCGGAGCAAAATCGGTCCCGTTGTAGTCAATCAGAGCAATTCCACTACTGCGGCCGTGCTCCGGCAGTGCGGCGCCGTGCGCCGCCCTCTGTTCCGGCGTCCGGCAAAAATAGAATCGATCCTATTTTCGCCGGACGCCGGAGCACCTCCGCAGTAAATGGACAGAAATCACAACCGTCCAACAGGAAAAGGAGCGGGCACAACTTCCGTTTTTCACAATAAATCGATAAACAAAAGGCGTTTTTTGTTTCATATGCACAGGTTTAACAACTTTTAACAACTATCAGTGGCAGCTGAAGTTTAAATGCACAAAAGTAAGCCATAAATACAGTTTCCACTATCAAAGTAGTCACACTTAGTTGATCCAAACACTGCTGATCTCTCAACACAAATGATGGGCAGATTAAACAGTTCATTTTGATGCTTCTCCCACACAACGGGTGTTTGGATCTAACTTCCGCGTTTATTGCTCGGACTGTATCGCAAGATCTCGAAAATCCCGCGCATGCTTGTTTGCCCACCTCAGGTCTCCGCACCGGAGCGGAGCCGTTGTAGAGCGGGCAGCAGTAAAAATTGAGTTCGGAAGCGAGCGGCTGCGGAGGGCGGGGGCAGACCGGAGCGGAGCGGAGGTAGTGGAATTTGGGGGTTAGTGTCCATTACAGACATTTGGGATTTCCGAACAGGCAAGATTTTCATTGGCTAGAGGAGATTTTGCGCATGTAAACGTGGCTATGTGTATTATCCAGCATCACACTCTGTTCAGGTTAAGACAGCGAAGTAACTTAACACTCACTCACGAGAAGTTAGCTTCTATTAGCAACACGCTAATCGAAGCATTATCACCCATATAACTTGCTTTTCTTTTTAAAGCTACAGCTAAACTTCTCACAGAACACTCCCAAGAGCCCTCGCATGTCAAAAACAAGTCACAAAAGCTACTTAACTCAACTTAAAATAGACTTTTTAACAACATATAATTCTGCTCACATGTACTCGCCTCCACCAGCTACATGCTAACAGCTGGGGTGGCTGTACGCACGCCTGAAGGACCCCTGCATTAATCACATTAAAATATCGCCTTCTTTTGGTGTTAAATAAAATATAACATTGCTTACCTGTTGGAGGTAAAGAAGAATACGTGATTCTTGAGCAGTGTGGGTGACGTACTCTCCTGCTTATCACAACTGCTGACAGCTGGGTGGCAAGGTACTCAGCATAACGCAGGGCGCTTTTTCAGAAATGTTACAAAATAATCTAAATTGATTACGGTTTTATTTTTATTTAAAGCTCAAGTATAAATAATTAGATGCCAGTTGCAACATTTAAAAATCTGCTGGGAACAGACGTAGGTATACGATCTGAGCTGGTAAAAAAAAAAACTCATCAGCAGGCTTTTTTGAAAGTGGGGGGGACACAGCGGCCAATCACAAATTTTGCCGGGGACATGTCCCCGGAGTCCCCGGTTAAAATGACGCCTATGTCTCCGCTGTTTAATTCTGCCCAGAGGAAGGATCTGGGAACTCCCCTATTTAAATAACCCCACCCCCTGAGAATTCTAACTGAGTCAATCACCACTGAGCAGCATACGTCACACTCCATAATGCCGAGTTTGTCATAAACATGACGACTGAAGCGGAGTTCGCTGCGGCTCTTTCCTCTGTTCTAAATGGCTTGGACACGTCTTTAAAAAACAACAAGTAGAAGCGCTAAAAGCCTTTCTGACTATAGAAATGATATTTTCTTCTTCTTCTTCTTCTGCTAAAAAAAAATTAAAGATGTTTAATTACGCCGTCGCCAGACACCATTTTTACTACAGCTACAAAACTACAGCGTCGTGGGGTACAGTCGGCATTTCCATCTTTTTTCTGATTGGTTATTTTTGAGCTGCCTAGTCCCGTCCCTCATGTGCCTCTCTGCCTGTGAGATACCAGACTCTTTCTCTGTGCAGAGTTAAACAGAGACGAGTCTGGCAGGCCGGGCTTCTTACGAGATACTATCTCATATCGGTAAGGAAACTATTCAGACCCCCATCAATTTTTCACTCTTTGTTATTGTTGTAGTCATTTGCTAAAATCAGTTTAATTCATTTGCTCCTCATTAATGTACACACAGCACTCCATATTGTCAGAAAAACACATAATTTTAGAAATGTCTGCAGAGTGGTTAAACTGAAACATCACATGGTCCTAAGTATTCAGTCCCTTTACTCAGTATTTAGTAGAAGCACCTTTTGTGCTAATGAAGCCATGAGTATTCTTGGTAAAGATGAAACAAGTTTCTTTCACCTGGGTTCAGGGATCCTCTGCCACTTACCCTTCCAGATCCTCTCCATTTCTGTCAGGTTGGATGGTAAACAGTAGTGGACAGTCATTTTTAGGTCTCTCCAGAGATGTTCAGTTAGGTTTAAGTCAGGGCTCTGGCTGGGCCATTCAAGAACAATCACAGAGTTGCTGTGAAGCTTCTTTGTTTTCTTTGCCAGGACTTTTCAACATCATTAAACACATGGACAACAGAAGCTTGATCTTGGTGTGGGAAGAGTTTAACTGACTGTCAAATATGCACATAGCGTGTTTCCAGGACAGCTGAGTAACTCTGAGACAATTATAAAACAAAAATAAATTGTGCCCACCTTAGTGTGTTTGTTAGTTGGGGACTTCTAAACATGTTCGTTAGTGACTACTGAAGGTTTAACTTGCCAGCAAAAAATGGACATCATAACTGTGACAGAACAAAAGCCAGCTGCCATTCTGGCTTTTTAGTGTCTATCTTTCTTGGTGTAGCCCACCTTTACCCTCTGGCATAGGTAAGGGCTCCCTAGATTCTACAATGTAGAATTTCCCTTTAAAACAGTGTACCTCAAGTCTTAAGTATTTCTACATAGTTTGAGTACAAGTTCCCTTTAACTCACAACATTTTTCTCTTAACACAATGACCAAACGTAGTTAAATTTAAACTAGTAATTTACTGAATTAGTAGTTTTGAACAACAGTCAAAAAGAAAAACCAAATACATTCAATCAATAAACTGAAACTTCAGTTATAACTCAAATATGTGAGGGGTCCACTCACCAATCACACACACAAGCACACTAGCCGGCTTCCACAACTATAGAAAACCTCAAAGTTGCTGGCCTGAGTGAAGCTAGGGAGAGGTGAGGCCTAAAACACAATGGCCACTTAACTCTCAATAGAGCAATTAAACAAAAAAAGGTACCCGATTTTGTAGCTCAACATTCTCAAACTCACAACCAAATCCTTGGGAAACTGGTGCCAAACTGTGTCCTGTCTGCTGGTCCTGGTCCAGGCTCACACTTCCAATGAGCGATGTCTGGGCAAAAAGCACAAAAAATATTACAAGATAATCCATAGGCAGTCTCTAGCAGTCAGTTAACACGCCACACACAACTTTTCTTCACCTCCAGGCTGGAAGAATGAAGCTGTAGTCTCCGCAGTTAGCTGAATTAGCTTAACAATGCTCCGAGTGCTACTTTCACTTAGCTAGTGAAAGCTAACTGTCCGCTAAACTGCTTCAAAGTACTATTGCAGATGAAACTTCAGGACAAACTTTGAGCTTAAGTGTCCACAAGTAGTCCAGGAACCATTAAACAAGCGTACATTACCGGCCATTAAGTCAACGATCTGGAAACTTATTTAATTACTCTGCTTCGGACATGTGCATCTTTTTCTCCCGTCCTCCTCGCCAAGCTCTCTCCTCCTCCTCCCGATCGCATCTTAGCACTTCCTTTTTTCCACAATAAAACCAAAATAAAGTACATTAAAACATGTTAAACATTTCTTGCTTTTAACTTATACTTAGGTACTTCTTAAGTTTTAAACTTCACCACATACATGAAATACAATATTAATAACACTTTTAACATTTAATGAACTTTAGCTTTTAACCCCTTTTAAACTGTAATATGCTTTAAGAACTACATTAATGCACTAACATGTTTGTCCGGGTTACACTGGCATACACATATCTTCTTTTTGTTAGCAGGAATGAACATTACATACTTGAACATGAGTGGTCAAATACATCTTTAACTCAAAATGAGAGACTGACAATAATGAGGGACATAAGTCATTGAAAGTGATAGCCTTAATGTAGCCTTTAGTAATATCTTAGAGTCAATTGCTCTTATCCAAAGAATACATAGCTCCACCCACTCCTGCCATCATAACGATATTTCCACATAATCCAGTCTTCTCGGACCACTTTGATAACCTTTGAGTTTTTTATAACTGAGTTCTCGAAACATGAAAGTAAATTTCACTATAGTCGGTCTCCTTTTTATGCAAAGTCCTTGAGCAAATAGTGGCCATCCAATTATGTGAGCATTTAAACACTAATGATCTGTTTGAGGAATTTCTGTCTGATTTTAGAGAGTACCACAGCACTGAAACTGCATTGGTGAAAGTCACAAATGATATTCTCATGACCTCAGATAAGAATCTTGTGTCTGTTCTAGTCTTGTTAGATCTCAGTGCTGTTTTTGACACAGTTGATCACAATGTTCTTTTAGAAAGGCTTAAACATGTTGTAAGGAGCAAAGGAGCAGCGTTAGGCTGGTTTAAATCCTACCTGTCTGACAGATTTCATTTTGTAAATGTACATGACAAATCTTCTTCATACTCCAGGGTTACTTGCGGAGTACCACAGGGTTCAGTGCTTGGACCATTTTTTTTACTATATATATGCTCCCAATTGGTAAAACCATTAGACAGCATGGGATAAACTTCCACTGTTAGCTGACGATACTCAGTTATATCTATGCATTAACCCTGATGAACCTAATCGGTTAGTTAGATTACAGGCTTGTCTTGGAAACATAAAAAATTGGATGACTCAAAACTTTTTGATTTTAAATCAAGACAAGACTGAATATCTCATCTTTGGACCTGAAATTCAGAAAAGGAAATTGCTTCGTCAATCACCTGACCCGAATGGCATTACATTAATCTCCGAGAACAAAGTAAGGGACCTTGGTGTTATCTTTGACCAGGACATGCCATTCAAATCCCACGTTAAACAGGTTTGTAGGATTTTCTTTTTCCACCTTCGGAAATTGCTAAGATTAGATTTCCAGGAGTGATGCCGAAAAACTAGTTCATGCATTTATTACATCAAGACTGGATTACTGTAATTCAGGAAGTCCACAGAATGTAACTAAAAGTCTTCAGCTTGTCCAAAATACTGCAGCTAGAGTTCTGATGAGAATTAAAAAGAGAGATCACATCTCTCCAGTCTTAGCTTCCCTAATTGGCTGCCTGTTAAATTCAGAATAGATTTTAAGATCCTTCTTCTCACATATAAAGCTCTTAATAATCAAGCTCCATCATACATCAGTGATCTGATTGTTCCATACGTTCCTAACCGAGCACTTCGCTCTCAGACTGCAGGTTTACTGGTGGTTCCCAGAATATCTAAAAATAGGATGGGACGCAGATCTTTTAGTTATCAGGCTCATTTCTTGTGGAACCACCTCCCAGCTTTAGTCCGTAAGGCAGACACCTTGTCTACTTTTAAGAATAGGCTTAAAACATTTTTATTTGATGGGGACTATGGTTAAAATCTGATGTTAACCTAGATCTGGACAAGTGGGGGAATAGAGGGAGGTGGAGTGTACAGTCAGTAAAGACGGCTCTCCCTTGCCCTGCCTCCATCTAAAAGGCTAGGTTATCCAGAGTTATCTCTGTAGTTACGCTGCTATAGGCTTAGACTGCTGGAGGGCACACTGACCACTTTCCACACTCTACGTCTTTCTTCTACAATCTGCTCTTTAACTGTATTATTTCCTGCAATTTCAGCTTGATCTGTCATCTTGATCCCCAGTGAGTGATGGCGGATGGCTTCTTATACTGAGCCAGGATCCTCTGGAGGTGTTTTCCTGTTAAAAGGGAGTTTTCCTCTCCACTGTCACTGCATGCTTGCTTAGTATGAGGATTGCTGTAAAGACTTGATGTAATTTGCTGGGTTCCTTATATAGGAAACTTTTTTCTGATTGGCTTAATGAATTGACCTGTATTGGAATGTTTATTCTGTAGAGTGCCTTGGGACGACGCCTGTCATGATAAGGCACTATATAAATAAGCTTGAATTGAAAATTGAAAGTCTCAATTTGGGACTGTCTCGCACAAAGCTGGATGTCTGGAGGATTTGATAAATGAATTAATTTATCAATTTCCTTTATCAAAAGGGAAAACTTGAATATTTCAGCCAGCATGTGATCATTTCTAGACTTTAACGCTCTATTCCAGTCTGCTCCCTCAATGCCATTTATGAAAATAGCTTCAGAAAATGACTTGTAAGTTCTACCCCAAAGTATCTTTGTATAAACCCCCATCTGAAGGTTGAAAGAGACTGCTCTTAAGTGTAACCTAAAGAAACTAAAACATTCTACTAGGATTGTTCTCGATAACTTAGGGCGCACATCTTCAGCAAGCATTGACCATATTTACACCAACAATAATTCTGCTTGGTCAGAAGCAGAATCAGCTCCAGATAAGTTTACAGACCACAATGTAATCGCTGTGGCAACAAAAGGGAAAGCAGTGAAGTTAGGACCAAAGATACTTCGGGGTAGTATCAATGAGTTGTTTCTTTGCATAGCCAACAAACATGTGTCGGTAAAGAGGTTCACTGCGAAAGCCAATAAAGCTCCATGGATTGATGCAAAATTTAGACAGTGTATAGAGACTCTCTTAAAAATGAAGTTTGTGCTGCTGGGAACTCTTATCAACTTGGTGCTATGGTCAGATTATTGTAAAGGCAGGGACAAGGTAAGTGTTTTTAACAGGAGGGATAAAAGACAGTATTACAAGAACAAATCTGATCAAAATATAAATGATAGGAGACATCTCAGGAACACTAAAATGAGTTACTGGGCTGGGAAACAAACTTTGTAACACATTACTTAATATTAACATTAATATTAAGCAGTTGTTATTACTTTATTAATGTTTATTAATGCACTAAGTAACATCAATAAAGGGACCCCTATTGTGAAATGGTACCCATTTTTAATCTCACCTTCCCGACACTGACCAAAAAATGTGCACAAGCTGCTCAGATGCTCTCCATGTTCAGCAGCACAAACCTGTGTGAGCAACTGTTGTCTGTGATGAAGATGAACAGAAGAACAGAAATCTCACTGATGAACTCCTTCCTCAGCTCAGAGCCCAACCCCAGAGAGGCAGGAGTGGGTGGAACAGGTGAGGTGTGGATGGAACAGGTGATTATCACAGTAAATCAGAGTAGAGCAAACTCAGCTTGAAATATTTTGGTTTTGTGCACTTTTTCTGCTCTAAAGCATGAGAGGTAATAGGTGAGATGTTGCATTTTCATTTACGAGAATTACTATTTTGCTTATTTTTGTTGGCCTGTGAAAAATATTTAACCTACCTTAAAACAGGAACAGCAAATACTTCAGATAGATTGATAGAAAAGAAAAGCTCTTTATTGCCCATCAGTGGGGAACATTTGGTGTGACAGCAGCAAATGCAATCATTACAGGAGCAACAACGGAATATACAGCATAAGAATAAAGAGTAACCAACAAGAAAAGCAAATGGAAATACTTCAAAGTAAAAAAAAAAAAAGCTGAACATTTACACATTTTAAGGAATAAAATTAGGGGAGGAATAAACGTGATGTGATATGAGACACAAGGCTGCATGTTTATCCAATGAAATCACAAAAATGTTAACTTTTACTCACTGATAGAAAATGTTACACTAAAACATTTTCTATCACTTTAAATGTGTAAAATCATTATTAATCAATAGTCGGATCTCAGGGGGCTGGGCCCTAATGTCGGACGTCACTATAAAGGCGGTGAAATCCCGGACAGGTCGGTCCTTCACATGGACAGCACATTTACCGTCACTTTGTCAACAAAAATTGAGTTAGGCCCATAACTTCATCCCACCTTTTCATTTCAACCCTGTGTGAATTTGAGTTTCACACCTCCACTCTTTTCTTTAGATGCAGATCATTTAACCAAACGGAGATGTGTTTTTACCTCCTCTCAATGTCTCATCATGACATCATACTTTCTTCTCAGAGGAGCTTTAAAGGAGTGGTTTTCTCATTTCATCAATATTGTTCCAGTGGTTTCTAGTAGGAAGCAATGCCTTGTAAGACCAAATACAGTGGTGCACCCGTTCTCTGACCTAAAAGTCGCCCTCATCACAGCTGAGCTTCAGACGGAAGATTTTGTAGTCTTGTTTCCTGATATGTGGACATCTCACCCTGGATTGGATAACATCAGCACAACTCTACCACTGACTTGCAACGATGATGTTCTATCCCCGCAAATAACACAAACCTGGAGGAGATTCTGCTGTGTGGTGAAGTTGCTAATGCTAACAGTTACCTGAGATGTTCTCTGCTGTTTCCTGGATGCTAAACCACTAACAGCCTTCCTCGTCATGAGTCAAGATGGGTGAGTCCATGAATGACAAGTGACAGTGTGATGTAGATCTGTCAGGCTTTTCTAATCATAGAGTTTCACCGTCCCTCAGAAGCTAACGCAGAAGATAGGTGTAGGAGACTATTTTCATGTTCAGCCTGCATGTAAAACTCAGAGTGACCCATTAGAGTCAGAAATAATAATTAAAAAATGGATTTTCAGTGTTCCACGCCTTCAAAGATGCAACATAAAAGTGGAGACTCAGCCTGTTGAAAGGCAGGAAATCCAAATTTAGGAATTTAGCTCATGTGAAATGAAAACCTCTCGAGATAAAAGTTTGTTGCTTTTTTAACCTGATGGCAGAAAATACCTTCAGAGGGGTGGATAACTTTCAGAAAACATTTACAGGCCTTCTAACAGACCTGGGGTCTCATTTATCAAACATTGCGTAGAATCCTTACTAAAACCGTACTTAAGCTCAGCAAAAAAAAAGTACTTACGCCAAGTAGGTTTGTGATCTATCAAACATGGAGTGCGCACAGCAGCACGCAATCTCCGCTTCATAAATCGGAGACTAACGAGAATGTTTCTCAGCTGCTTTTTAGTCACATCCCGCCCTAACCACGCCCACCTACTGCCATAAATAGTCAATGTAAAGTGCCTTGTGGATCTCATGCATATACATAAGCCGGCTGTTGCAGAACTCTGCCAATGACCATGGCGACCGTAGATCAAGGCAGATCAAGGAAGCGCTATTTCACAGAATCAGAAATTCAGGAACTTGTGGGTGAGGTGGAGAAATGAAAGGAAGTGCTTTTGCAAAACAAATAAGAGAAAATCCACGGAGTGGCACAGCGTTGCTGAAGCCGTCAATGTTGTGAATTCTTCAGAGAGATCTGTGGTGGATATTAAAACAACGGTCCAATCGGGATTCGATCCCCAGACTCCCAGGTGAAAGTTATGCGCGCTAACCAGTCAGCCAAACTGAGATCTTCCCTGTCCAAGTAGCCAGGGCGCATGATCAGTCGGGTCACAGTGACAGGACACACACTGTCACAGACGCATGATGTTCTGTCTTAATCTGTCCCCCTGCTGATATTCTGCATTCCGTATTCTGTGCTTCAGGCTGTGTGTGTGTGTGAGTGTGTGCGCGCGCGCCTGTTTGTGTGTGTGTGTGTGTGTGTGTGTGTGTGTGCCTGTGTGTGTGTGTGTGTGTGTGGGGGGGGGGGGGGGGGGGTCTTGTTCTGTGTGAAAACGAAGCGGTACAAGTGATAATGCTGCAGGATTTCATAATTGTATCTTCTCAGCAGCAGCACTGCAGGTGCTCTCCATGTCCAACATGTGTGTAAGCCAGATCCTTAGTCAACTTAAAGTTGCGCACATCTTTCTGCTAAGTTTTCTTTCATAAATCCCAAAGTTTGCGTGGAAAGTTGCTTACGCAGTTTTCCGACCCCGTTTTGTGCGTAAGCAAGCTTGATAAATGAGGCCCCTGGTCACAGCTTCAGTATGACCAGAGTTTACGGGTTTTCTACCTGAACCCATATAGTATCAGCGACACCATGCCACCATGTTGGGTCGGTCTCATGCTTGACTTGAAACTGGGAACTCTATTCTAGAGGTGTTTTTGAGCACCATTGTTGAACCTTTATGGGGAAAAGTGATGTTACAGCCAGCGGTAGGGCAGCATGCAGGCTTAGGGGCCTGCAAGGTCCAGAAGGATGCCTCACACCCCGACCTTGATCCAGAGGCTGTGGGAAAACTAGCAAAGCCAGCAGGGGCTGACTGAAACTCTTTTATATTACCCAAGACTCGTTACGGGTCTGTATGAGTTGTTTTGAAAATGTTAGAAGCCAAGATGCTTGATTCATGGCATAAATCAAAATAACTCAAGCAAGCTGTCTGCATCTGGGAGCTCAATGGAGGCATGTTGCCTTTGAGTGGTGTGAATGTTAGCTACAATAATAATAAATAAAAATGTTAGTGATTTTATGAAATGTTTATTTATCCTACGTGCCACGACTGGAGTGAATTTTCACTATGATGTTTCTGTCTTGTCCTGGAAAAGGACCTAAATGACAAATATTAGGATAAACAGTTTCGAGCGAAGAAGAAAGGAACAGAATTGTCTCTAGGATAAAAATCCCCGCCCTATGCTGATGGATGTTTAACCGTAGCCATATCTCAACCTTTTACTACAACTTCTGTTTGATGTGTGACAGAAAACAGTAGTTTACTCAGCTTGATGTTATTTGCCACCTGACTTTTTCTTCTTTCTAAGATGATAAAACTTGGGGAAGAGGTGGGAATGGATCTGTTTATGACTAGGAGAGGTGGGACTAAAATATCTTCGTATCAGGACAAATCTATATTACAGGAAACAGGACACAGTCAGAGAATGTGTGAGTAAGTTAGGAGATCAGGACTAAACTTCTGGAGAATTACTGAAGCAGTCTGACAGCAGCAGGAGACTCTGTGGCTCTGAGGAGTACAGATTAATTTATTAAAATATCACTTCTCTGTGATGATCTCAAAAACTAAAGTCACATTTTTACACTGTTCTTTCATTTACTCTGATTCGTGATTGTGCTGTCCTCATCATACGTGCTCTATATGACTTGACAGTCAGATAAACGCCTCCTTGAACATCAAGACTCTGCAGACAGATGACTCCTTGTACACAAGTTTATTGACGTAGCAAGGAAGGTGAAACTGAAACATACAAATTATAATCAGTTCTGTTTCCTCTTAAACAAACACATTCAACAGAAATCAAATAAATCACTGTTTAACAATGAAATCAGCTGTACTCATTAACTTGTACTTTTAGTTTACATATTTTATATTTTTAACATGCCATGAATTATGTATTTATCTGTTGACTTATTTCAGTGAAGGGGTTAACACATATATCCGCCTTATAAACCCAAATTGGCAATGTTATTTCCCAGTGTGTAAATATATGTTTACAAAATATAATTTTCCCAAAAATAATGAACTAATATGACAAAGAATATATTTAACTTTCAATACATACCTACGATGCTAACAAAAAGCAGAAGACGTTTGCAGATGCAGCTGGATTGACTCGACTAACAACCTCCACTCTGTGCCATGTGCTTGCTTCCTGATTTCCTCACTCTATAGCCTATGCAACTTCCTGTGTCTGAGATCCAGTCCCTCTTAAAGCGACAGTACAATTTTTTCTAACAATGAGATTTAAACATTAATTCTTACGAAAACAAACAAGATTAACATTACATTTGCTCGTAGCAATACACTCCCCGCCTGGCGTGTATACACGTCACTAACAACTTCAACAGTTTGTATGACTAATCCTCTTTCGGAAGGAGAACTACTATCTCTGTAATAGGTCTACGATAGAGTGCAGTCCCTCCTGGTTTTACAATCTTCACTTCAACTTCCCGCACTTTTCCATCTTCACCTGGAAAAGTCTTCGTTATCAGTCCAGTGGGCCATTCGTTCCTTGCCAGGTCGTTATTTCTCAAAAGAACAATACTTCCTTCTGTCACGTTAGGTTGTGTAGACTGCCATTTCCTGCGTGGCTGAAGTGTGGGCAGATACTGCTTTTTCCATCTGTCCCAGAAAGTGTTGGACAAGTGTTGTACCTGGCGCCACTGAGACTTGTAGAGGTCAGACACTCCGAAGTCACCAACAGGAGCTCGAAGGACGTTTACCTTTTGAGTAAGAAGAGTGGCTGGAGTGAGCATGTACAAATCTTCAGGGTCATGTGTAACTGGCACCAGAGGCCTAGCGTTGATAATAGCCGCTACTTCTGCCATAAAGGTCACCAACACTTCATGGGTAAGTTTATCTTTTAGCTGAAGGAACATGGTGTCAAGTATTCTTCTTGCCAGGCCAATCATTCTCTCCCATGTACCACCATGATGGGAAGCATGGGGAGGATTAAAGATCCAGGTTATTCCCTCTTTCAAGAGGTAAGTGTTGATCGCTGAGTTGTCAATGTTTGAGGGTATATTTAACTCCTTGCAGGCTCCGACGAAATTAGTGCCACGGTCTGAACGTATGAGCTTGACTGGCCCTCGCACTGCAAGAAAACGCCTCAATGCATTGATGAAGCTT